GGGTTAAAAAAAGTCCATTATTGCTAATGAATAGAAATCAATAAACAACTATTGGTTTTCTTGGTTTGCACAGCCTATAAATCCCTATTCCTGGCTTATTCAAAACTATATGCTTAGTCATGAGCTTTTCTACAGACACAGACCACGAAGGAACGAGCCTCTTCCGAGCGAAGCCTGGGAGATTCCCAGCTGCCTGGGCATTTCCCTCTGTTACGCATAACCCGTATCGCCATGTCAGTACAGACCAATTTTCAGAACAAGGACTTGCAGTCCAGAGATTTGTGTGTAAAGACTTGTGCCCCGATCTTTGCCTTTTCATCACAGAATTGGCTCAAAGGGCTGTGGCATATATTCAAAGAAAAAGTTTGTAAGGCAGAACTCTGGAAGATCTATACAACTGCACTCCAGGTTTAACAAGAATGGCAAATAAAAGACACTTGATGGAAAATCCGTAACTGTGTTGTACTGATGACTAAAAGTACATAGAGGTGTTAAGTGATCTGCAGATACCTGCCAGGACAACCCATCCATATGCAAAGGTCTTCTGAGCTAGGCATTTTTCAAATTGGACAAGTATTTTTCTTTTCATTTAGCAAGGGGGAAAAGAGGGTGGTTCAACAGGTTTGACAACAAAAGACTTTGGATCACAAAATGCATATTCTTTGAGAAAGGTTAAATTCAGAGCTGGATCCATCTCTGGTGCTTGGGTTCATTTGTTAACAAAGAAAGAACGTATCCCAAACGAGTCATTCAACAAGAGGCCGAGTACTGCCCTTCCTGCAATGACTTCCTCCAGATCTGATCCAGGGGTCATTAGTGAGATCCGAGGAACCTCTTATCATATGTGATCTCAGTAACTTTATTTTGCAAGTTGTCTTCATAAAGCCTATTTAGTGTCACAATCTTCCTCATATAAAAAGTCTGAAATTGGCAGCTGATTCTGTTTTCACTATGATACAGTTTCCATAGCCATATCAACGTACTTTTATATGCATAAACGGCAATTTAATTCTACAGAATGCTTGAAGAACGAACTGCAGTGCTATGATTGTCCCAATCCTGGTTTTGAGGCTCTAAAGTAGTCAGAAAATAAAAGGAAAAGCCAAACTCTCAGCAAGTGACAGCTCTGTATCCCCGTCAGAAGAGATGCAGAGCCTGTGCCTTGCGCATCTGCACGCACACATTAGGTCATTTGTGAGTGCAAAATTCTGCCCATGTAACTTTTTATGTGTCCTACCTATTGAACAGACCTTTGGGAAGGCAAGTAGTGAAAACCATGAAAATCAAAGGAAACTCAGCGTACAGCCTATGACTGTCCAAGTTTCATCCTGCGACCCAGCCTGAGTGAAGATGAGCCTCACTAAGGAAAATGCTTCTCCCACCCACTACTCGCTCACAGAAAAGAAGAGAGCCTCAGATGGCAGAGCAGGAAGAGCTCGGAAAGACACAAGATGAGCTTAACAACCAGAGTGCCTTTCTCAAGAGAAACCTCTGACCACTGGCCCTGTGCAGGAGGTGCCCCTCTGCCCCGGCTGCGCTGGGCGGTGGCAGCCGCAGCAAAGCCGCCCACGCCGCGGGCGGGCAGTCACGGCGTGAGCCTGCAGAATTATGTGCACGAGCACTCGTTCGTCAGAGGGCACCAGAGGATTTTGGTTTTTTCCCGGCTGCACGCTGAAGGCTGCTTTCCCTTCTGAACAGGCAGTGCTGTGTCCCCAGCATCTGAATCCCACACATTGAATGCCGGAACCCAAGCTCAGTGGCAGCAGTACCGAGGACTCACACAATGCTCAGGATGGGACTCATCTTGCCCAAAGCTGCAAATCGGGAGGTTTAATTTTACCCGTGAGGCGTGGAGAGACTCATGTAAGCAAAAATGCGCATGGGCATGCAAATTTGCAGAATTAAGGCTTTCATTCATACAAACATACCACTGTGGTCTTAATATTTATGAAGCACCTCAAATTCCCAAGGCATTTCACAGGGTATATATACAAAGAATATTGTCACCCAGGTCCTGCTTCTGGAAAACGTTTCCTTTTGACACAGGGGCTTAATTATGCTCATAGATGACCTGTTGAAAATTACGTGATTTCGGTACAAGTACAAAATCAGTTGTAAGTGCTTTTCTGAAGAAGGACGGAATAAAACATTTACTTAAGTGCTTTCCTACATTCTGGCTTCAGTGATCTATAACCTGACTTTGCAACTTGTCATCACTTAACAGTGCTCAGAGCTGTAGAAAACCGGAGGACAGGGACGGAAAAACACCTTTCCTGAGCAAAACCGCAGGTAGAACTGTGAAAACAAGAGCAGAAAGACTCCTGACCCAGATTTAGGATGCCTCTTTTGAGAGACTGCAATACAGTGATATGTCAAAACGTCCCAGCCAGCCTAGCATCCTGCCTCTGGCGGCAGCCAGCTGTGCACCCTGGGGGACCACGTCTAGTATGGGATACTTAAGAAAAGTGCATGCACAGTGTGATCCCTCTCCGAAATCCTTCCCCAGCTCCCAGCAATACGGGCAGGGTCTCAGTACAGTCTATGTGATGCCCCTTTGAGCACAGCTCCCTTTAATGATTTTGCTGGGCAAAAGGACCCGGGTCAGCATCAGGCAGGAGTTTCACCTCCTGCCTTGCTTTTCAACCAACCTTGCTCGCTCTGCTGTGCTGCGGGTGACTCCACTATGGCAACAGAGAATTGGTCAATCTATCCATTGACATTAATTTAATTAAGTTTGTGAAATAAAATGAAGACTTTGCAACAGCTCCGCTGAAACCCAAACAATTTGGCCAGGAGTTTTTTTGTCTGTGTACTGGGCTGCAGTGGGTGGATGTTAAAGGATCACTGACAACTCGGACATCGTGTTCGTGATGTTCCTGTGACATGTAGCACCCAGGCTCCAGCGCTAGAGAATAAATTGTACCAGTGTGTGTACTTTCCATAGGGAGACCTGACTGTATAACCAGCTTCGCTCCTTCCCCTGCAGTCATTTGAGATGACTTTCATTCCTGTGTGAAGGGCCAGTACCTGGTGTAAGCACCACTTAAATCCCATTTCAGCTTTATTTCCAGAGCTTAAGTGGAGGTGATGTGCTACCTTGTGCAAACTCTTTCATGTAGGGGTGAATTTCAACATCAGTTCCCCTGACGCTGTGGGCCTTTCCCAGAGCAACTAGGAATAGAGAAGACTTTAAAGAATAAGGAAAATATCACTACAGAACCACAAATACTGGCAAGACTGACCTAGCTGCGCCCTCTGGAACGATCTCTTTCCTTTTAAACCGAGCAGATTTCCAGCTGCCTGTATCTCTTTAATTAAAAGAGATGTACTTTCAAATGGCTTATAAAAACATAACAGCACATTTCCGGATCATGGTTTTGAAGGATTATTAGGCTGTGCCCCTTTGCCTCAGAGTTACTCTATAATTTAGGGACTAAGAACATCCAAAAAATTAAGCTATAAAACGAACTGAGTTCTAAGTGGACCGAAAAGCATGGAGTGTAATTTTTCCTTCTTCCTGTACTAAAGAAGCAAGTCACCCAAAATTTTAGGGATAGTTCTAGAGCACTTTTGTTCCCAAATAAGATCTGACAAACTGACTTTTGGCTGGAATTCAGTTTCCACAGCTAACAAGTAAATCCACAAGGAGATTAAATGCAGCAAGAACCCTAATAGTGGCATTTTGAGATGCTGCCCATGACACCATCAAATCAAAACGTTTGACCTCTCCATGAAATTTCAATGTAAGATGAATTGTTGATTCTATGAACTTACTCAGGAGGCAGTAATGTGATTCAAATCATCTGACTGTCAACAGAAACCATTTACTCTTGTATAACAGTAAGCTAAAAATGCTTCTTCACAGTTGAGTATTTTGACTGAAAAATGAAATCGTACACTGAACAAGTAACAATAAGCTTTTCCCTGGAAAGCAGAACTCAGGATGAACTAAATAATAATCACAGATCATTGTAATTTAGGTGTTTCAATTTATGTTAGTTCTGTTTATTTTCAAATTCCATCCCCTCGACCCAAAATATTTTGGTATATATATCTACATACAAATTGCAAGTATTCCATTATGCCTGTGACAATGTCAACAGGGACTCTGGAGGGCAACAAAGCACCTGAACTCTCGTGTTTGATAACAAGCAGGTAAAAACTGCCATCAAAACATAAGTGAAATGCACTAAGAAAAAAAATCAAACTGAAACAGGAAGTAAACATTTGAACCGGCTGCCTCCTGCTTCATTAGCAATTTCTGACACTGATATCAGCATCTCCAAACGCTTTCTAAGAATATTTTTGTCATCCATGTAATGCATAGCCATTAACATGCAGCCTCTGGAAACCTCTCAGACACTCCTTTATCCTACCAGTCAGACTTTGGACTGTAAAATTAAGAAAAGACACGATGTTATACTAGATCATCTTTTCCAGCTACTGAATTGTGATCTGAAGGAAGGCCATTAATGTACTGACAACTGCTAATAGCATAAAATATAGCAAACAACTACAAGGATGGAGTAAAGCTTTAAGCTTTTCTTTCTCTCCTTCATGTTGTATGATACTTGTCTAGAACAGAACTCTAAGCAAAAGCCAGCATAATGCAGTTATAACTCAAATCTCAGCAACCTCAGTTAATTCGGAGCTCTCTTAAAAATAAAGGCCTTCAGAATATACCATTTCCAAGGCCCCCACTTAATGAAAGCAGGCTTCACAGTAATGCAGGGTGCTGGTGCACCATCCTTCTGAAGCCATATGTACTTCATGCAGAAACAAGAAGGCAATGATAAATCCTGGAGACAGATCATGAAGTGACCAGTGAACAGGAATTCAGATTTCTGGATTGAACTCTTGAAAAAACTGGGGTCAGTCAACAAAACTAGACTGTTCATCCATGACAAACTATAAACAAACAAACATAAACCCCAAATGTCTTTTCCAAAAAAAAAAAGAAACAAAAAACCCAATCAAACAAGTGTAGAAAACACTCAAGCTGTCATTTCAGTTGTGTATTTATGAGCCACTGAAGAGTTACATGACTGCTTTCAAGCACATGGGTAAACTGGAAGCATTCATCTCCCATGTGAGCAAAATGAACGTATGTAGATGATGAAACTGCATCCAGACACAACTGTTGCTATTGCTTTTCGTGACCATCTCAGAATGGAGTGTGCAGGAGTGACAGTGCTCTGGAGGCATGTGCATGACTGGTCCAAATCCTAGAAAGCTGACTCGGTCCCTCCCTGTGACCCTCCCCTGTAGTTTAGTGTTGGATCTCTGTTTGTTTTTCAAGACTTCACCTCTTCGCAGTCTTGATCAGTGGAAAGCTCCACATCGGACAGTCCAACCTCCATTGCCATAATCAATGAAATATCTGAATCGCTGCTGACTGCTGGCTCCTGTTCATCTGTGAGGGTAAAAGAGACAGGAAAAGGGCATTATGGTCATGTCTTTCTGTCAACGTATTACTATTTTTTAGTTCTGCACATGGGACCCAGAGGTTTCTCCACCACTGAGGTTGTGCTTAGATTCCAAACTTTGCTCTTATTCAGTATCTGTCCAAAGCGTTTCAAAAATATGACAAAGTTCAAGCCATCAGTAGCGAGAAACACAATGACAAGAAGCCTGGATGGGTACCACTTTCTTCTCCTCCTAATCCTCCCAGGGCTCTCCATCCAGGCCCTTCATCTCCATGACCTTCCTCCTACTGCCTGAGTGCTTCCCTCCCCGTCTCCTTTCAATTCCTCAACCTGGCATCATCCTACTCTCCCCACAAAGGCAGCAAGTTAAGGACAAAGTCACAGGCACCTGGTGGAGTGGGTTGGCCATCAGGAAAACATTTCTAACAAGAAAAAAATCTGCCCAAACCCTCATTAGGTGACAGAATCTCTGTTAGCGGAGACTTTTAAGAAGGTGCTATGCTAATGTCTGGAAGGAGCAACACGCAAGTTGTTAGTTCTGCCCCAGGACTCAGGACAAGGCCGCCTGCCCTCTTAGGTGCCTTCTCTCATCCTTTTCCAGTCTCCCTCCTAGTCACCCTTTCCTCTGATTTGAAGATACCTTGCAGGTTCTTGATCCAGGCCAAAGGTGTCTACCTTAATCCAGCATGATCCCAATTACAGTAACAGTCCTATTATTGACTTTTGCCAAACTGCAAATCCCATCAGAACTACAAGCGTAGGAGAAGTAACTTGTTTTTGTTTGGATCCCACAGTACTTACTACATGTATATTTAGTAGCAGATAAAAGCCAATAGATTTTAAAGGACTAAAAGCTAATTTCCTTTCAAGAACAATCAGGAGAAGCAAAGCACACTGGATCTCTGGGGAGATTTCCAAAGAGACAAAAATCCAATAGGTGTCTGAGTCCCTGAGAGAAAAAGTTGATTGTTCATATTTTGAAGAGGTTTAGTTACAATGCTGGTATTTACACTGTAACAATACAATACATTTAAATCTGTGGCAGTTTTTCCTTTACATATTTTATTTTTCAGACAATAGAAGCAGAGCTTGATTGATGTTAAAATGTCTAAAAGTTGAATATCTAAGAATTAATAAGTAAGAAACATTACAGAGAAGCCAGGGAAATAACTACTCCTCACAGTTTAATTATTCACTTGAAGCTAAGTGAGCACAATTAGTCTCCTCTCAAGAGATGCATGATTTTTAAATCTGTTTTAGAGAAAAAACATGTATTTACTTGTGCTGGGATTAGGCCTCATTTTCTATGAAGAAAGCTTGAGCGGGGTCTGCATTATTCAAAGTGAAAGAGCCAGTGCTTTCCTTTACAACCCTTCCCAATTTTCGGTCTGGATTATTTTTATACTTTCTTGATTGCAAGATAAATAATTAATGCACACAACCTCTTTATATCTGTATATTTTTTTCCTATCAGTATGACAGTAGTAAAACATTTCAAGGCATTGCTTCTGACTATAGATGTTTCCACTGGAGGTGGCGGAAGTACTTACGAACTGCAGACTTCAGTGGGCTTCAATTACATTGAACCATTAGGTGAACTGCTCGATTCAAGAGTACAAAAGTGCATCACATACACCTCCAAGACCTAAAGTATCATCCGTGGTGGTAACAGCTCCCTGAGCCAGAACTATGTGGTTTCAAGACCACTGGGTTATTTATCATTCCTCTATAACTAATAGCATTCTTAAAGACAATGAAAATGATGCTTTAAATGTTTGTATTTGCATGACAGAGTTCCTGAGGCTTAGCCATGTTAAACAGCTACTTGGAGCACTCTTGAGGGAAAGGTGATTTTCATCTGAACTAGCTGTGCAGGAAAGGACTGGCTGAATGGTGACAGCTACATGCATGCTGAAGAGGCAGGCTGAGCTGCCAAGACCAAGTGTCAGCGTGTCAAATGAGAAGTGTTTATGGTGCTGAAATGTTATTTCAAGAATTGTTGTTTCTTCTAGGGTTGCGCAGCAGAAAAAGTTCTCAACTGAGTTCAAGACAGACAGATAAAACAGAAGCAGATTTACAGCTTACCTACCAACCGTCTAACCTATATACAGGAGCACCTGCTTTCCAAACCAGCAAACTATGGAGTTTTACACTAAAAATCCTATACAATTACTCAAATTCTTGGATCTTGGTCTTTCCAAAGTGTGGGCTTTGTAGTTTGTATTCTTTGGGACTGAAGTGCAGGTCAGTAGGACCAAGGAACAAAGGATCCTAAAAATGCCCATGCCTATGCCCTGGCATTGCTTTTCCGGGGCTGCGAAAGAGCCTGGAAACATGAGTCCTCCAACTTCCTTGCTTGCTAACAGTATAGCGGTCCAAAATCCTAAAGCTACAGCCTGCTGCCTCAGCAGAGTGGGGAGAAAAACTCGGACATCACCATCCCTTACACCTTCCCTTTCATTGAAAGGGTCAGCACCGACATTTCTTTGGAAGATGCACAAGACAACACAAGGAAACTAACGCATCCCTCAGCATTACGTGCTTCCTCTTGTACACAGGAGTCCTACCACTGACCCCAACATGCACAGGATGAAACTGCAGGAGGCTGCAGAAGTTACACCAGATCCGGATCAGCTGTAGGCAACCCTGGCTGCAAGGTCTACAAACTGCCTCACCATGGCTCCCCCACACGGCACAGGCTTTCTAGACTGCGGTGGTGGTGGCTGGTTGGTGGTTTTTTTTTTTTCTGGCTGGCTGCTCAATGACGTGAGCCAGCACAGTTAGTGACATTTGTTAAAGGTAAGCAAACTTCAACTAAACTGCAAGTGCCAGGAGCTTAGCCTGTATTTTGCATCCCTGGTTTTTAGATCCCATTTACAATGACAAAGCTTATACAATCACACAGCTTCTACAGAAGATGCCTGACTTGCTGTTAAGAACTTTTATGACATTTTTGCATTTTTTTTGAAATTTGGTGTATTTCTTAAAGCCCTGGCATCAGGTGAGGATCTCAACTTTCAGTGAAGATCTCAGCTTCCACTTAAACATGTATTTCCTTTTTACTTCTTAAGATTCGTAAAGAGTTTAAAAAATTTCTAGACAGATTTTATATTGGAATATCTGACTTGTGATTTTAGATGTTTGAGATTGGCAATCCTGTCTAACAACATACACTATTATACTTCACAGTGTTTTATAGCGTTTCATGCCACAGGCATACAGCCTTTTGCTTAATGAAGCAAAAGGCACATCCCAGGCTGCTTTTCAGCCTGAGTGCTAGTGCCTACAGCAGGCAACTGTAGACCTCACTGCCACATTCCTCTCATGTCAGTGAAACGCAATACACTTCAGCACGCCGCCTACTTCCAGACAGACTTTTTCCACTCATATTCCCTGACACACATTCATTTGAGAGGTACAATAAAACAAACTCCTTCTCTAGCCAGTATTACTTTAAAGTTAATAATGCTAATGCAGGAAGATTATCATCACATAGATATGGATCTGCCCTACATAATAGTGGTACAGCCCTTACTTACTGCAAAGTTCATTAAGTGATGTTTATATTTGAGTATAATTGCAATCAAACAAGGATGAAAACAGCTAATTACTCTAGTGCTTTAAAAACAGTAAGGCTGCACACTAGTAATAGTTATCTACTGCTGCTGCTACTCCTCACACTTTGAGTAAGTCTGTAGCTGTTGTACACTAATAAATATTCCAAAAGAAAAAGGTCAGAGGATGAGTTTCTAAGAATTTGATACTGTTTGTAAGTCCTGGGAGGGACTAAAGCATTCAACAGTGAGTGAAAAGTGCATTTACAAAAACAACCATCTGCCATGTGTACGAAGCACACAAGCATGGGCACAAATTGAGATATATTTGTAATGACCCGCTCAAGGATGAAGAACGAACTGCTGGTGGGTTTTGCACCCATGGAGGCTTCACTCCTGCTCACCACTGTGCTCCTCCCAAGGAGGCCACATCCAACAATGTGCTCTGATGTCCCTAGGACATGGCAGTGCCATGGGGCGCTCCTAAAATCGCTCCTGCTTGCTCCAGGGGCCGAGATTTCCACCAAGCTCATGGAGCTGGAAACGCTGCAGAACCCCATGATTGGGCTAAAAGGTCCACAAGCAATTTGCTTCCAGGAAATCAGTAGGAAAATAAGAATACACTAACATGTCATACAGCAAAAGCATCCTCAGCATTGAGTACATATGAGGTTTGTCTACAACGACAGATTTTTTTTCATTCTCTGGACTTTCCGGTAGCTCTCTATTACACCCATTTGTGAGTAAGCAGAGAAGTATCGATTATCACATTGTCAAATGAGAGCTGTCACCAAGTGTGTAACTCATCTACTGAAAGTGTAACTAAAGCCACAAATCTCGTATTCTTGTGGATTAAAAACATGGGCCACAGCAATAGACTATTCAGTTGGGAGTCAATCTCCCTTCCCTCATTTATTATCAGCTACCCATGAACTAAATCAGCATACTTAGTCCTGCTCCACACACAAACTGTTGAACAGAGCTGTGCAGCTAGTGGTTTTCTTCGCCTTATGACAGTCACAGGAATCAGAGGGTAAGAAAAAGCTGCTACCATGCTACTGACTTAGGTGTCACCGATTTGCCTAGCTATGAAGTTGAGCATTTAGCACAAGAAACAAGTCTTGTTTTGTGCAGATCTTCTGTTCTTGACAGTAGATGCCCAGCTTTGAGAAGAAATGAATAATTATTGATTTCTTCACCGAATGAAATGCGGTGAAAAATTTATCAGTTATTATCCCATCCTTAGCTGGCAGAAATTGTACAGCAGACAATGGGACTCTGTCTAAAACCTCATTTTGACAAAACTTGGACTTGATTTCACTATTCATTTCACATTCTCACTACTGTGAAATACACCTTATTTCAGAACTCTTCATTTTCTGAAGATAGAACTAAGCCAAAACATGAAATCCCTGGTGACAGGTATGCTCTCA